TGGTTATCAGTGGAAATCATAGTTACTGTGACAGCTCAGACAACATGAAGACAGTGTTAAACATCAACCTTTATGGATGGCATTGAATAATAATGCCATTGCTTGCTCTCTGTCCCAGAACTACAAGATGGAATTTATCCTAAAGAACATGCATGGAAGCCTGAAGGTTATTTGGGGAACATTCTTTGGTCAGATGAAGATACTTTTGTTGGGCTCAGATGGAGTCCAGCATGTTTGGTGTGAACCAGAAACAAAGTGAGTGTATATATACAGAAATACACAGAAAGCACTACATTAAGAGCAAGTCAGTTTTAATGTATGGTATAAAAGAGATCTCTTCGGCAAAATTACATTCAGCATCAGCGCCTTCTTTTTCCATCTTTAGCTGGTTTCAACTTTCAACAAAGGTTTAGAGTGATAATGATTGTTTCAGATAAGCAATATAACAGAGTATCCCAATCCCTGTATGATTAATGCACACAATACATGACAATAAGTTCAGAAAGACGCTCATTAGTAAAGTATAAAAACTCATGGTTACATCTTATAAGAAAATAAACAAAAACATCAAACCAAAATTGAGAACACTTAGATAGCTTGGATGAATTTGACACAACCCTTTATATTGGACATGAAGTTCTGATTTTACCTTGTAAGACTGGATGAAATCCGGCATCAAAAGTTTACTGACAGGTGCTCACATTATCTTCTATCAGCACTCTTCCTATAATCTGGAACTCCAACGCCTTCCAGTTCAGCACGTTGCCTGGCGTGAAGGTTAGGTGATTCGCATAGCTCTTGATCTCACAGGGGGGAAGTGCGTAGTCCCACATGTGGACATCAGACATCATGCCAACAAAAGACTGTTTAGTGTCCAAACCTCCACCATAGGAATCCTGATCCTGAGAAGTTGCAGAAAATTGAGTTAGTCGCTATAATGTGCAAGGCTTTATCTTGTTCTGGTATACAGCTAATCATACAGTTGCATTCTACAGCACATTTGGAAGACTTTTTAAAAAGGACTGATATCAGGAAATGTTAGATTTAGATTTAGAGAAAAAAACTTAACTTATGCAGGTGTCTCCAGATAGAAACAACTTAGTATAGCACAGCATGGAGAAATCCAAAGCAATGTACAAAAAACCCAAACCAAAAAAACAAATTTAACAATAGAAGAAATATGCCATTTTCATAGAAGTTATGCGCTGGATTTTTATATGGTGAGCAGCAGGACATCAGAAGAGACTCAAAGAAGTTGCTGTTTCTGGCTCATAAACAGTCTGACACATACATCCCAGTTCAACTGAACACAGTGTACAGTTAAGATCAAAAATAATTCATGCCCATGCTAAATTTTGATTTACAGTTAGTTTTTACTTGATCAGTAGATTTGGTCTGACTGGAAATGTAAATGGCCCTGGTAAGCTACACCATGTTCTAAAGCATTTTAATACACCATAAAAGAGAACAGCTGATGCAGTAGTTCTCTAGTCAGTTTCTAGTCAAGCCTAAACCAAAGAGCTCATAGAGGTGCTATTAAAGTCCTTTACTTAGAGAGAGCTTCAGCTTACAAGACAGACAAAGACTTGAAAGCCACTTCCAGGAGTTTCCAAGTGTCATTAGCCACAGTGCAGAGGAGTCCCACGCTGTTAAACATGTGAAAGGGCTGCAGTAAGACAGACGTGAGCCCTGCACTGGAAGAATGGTGGAGGCCAAGAGGAACCCAAGGACCAGCACCAAGAGCATCCTGATGAATGTGAGTAGTTCTGGTAGCAATATGTCAATCAGACACTCCAGCAGACCAACAACAAGGCTGGTCTCCATGGAGACCAAGGAGGATCCACTTCTCCAAGACAAAGAAGAAAGCTGCTGCTCATCACTTCATGAACATGGAGATGTTTGGACGCAGAGAAAGGAGAAGCATTCAAGGCCAAGAGCAGCATCTCCACGGTTCAACATGGTGGTGGAACGTGATGTTTTGGGGCTGTTGTTGAGCTGACGGACCAGACAGCCTGGTCAGAGGAAACGGCTTCATGAGAACAGAGGAGAACATCAGGCAGTCTGCAGGAACACTGCTCCTTGGGCAGCATTGGAGCTTCAACAAGACAATGATGTGAAACATGCAGCCAAAGTGGTGAAGAAACAGTGAAGAGGAAACAATGAGGAGATGTTGGAGCGGCCCAGCCAGAGTCCAGACTTGAATCCATCCAGAACCTGTGGAGGAGCTGAAGAGCAGAGTGATGGAGAGGAAGCCTTCAAGCTCAAAAAGCTGCAGATGGACACTTGGAGGAACTGTTAAAATGCTGTCATTGAAAATAAACACGTAGCCATTGATTAATAATAGCCATGCTTGACTGTGGGGATGGTGTTCTTGGGGTTAATTCTTCTTTTTTTCATCCCAAACAGTTTAATTTCCGTCCCAGCTGACTACCAAACTGATGAGCGACAGCATTCTTCTTTTATGTGTTTGTCTTGTAGAAATGGTGTATCTTACCATCATTTGTCACTTGGTTATATTATTTACAGCCAGAAGAAACCTAGTGAGCCAGTAAAAGTTCCCTATACATCTAAATTAGACGTGTATATGAATTATTTGGAGCTTCACTCAGTAAAGTGAGCTTTGGATGAGCTGTGTGGTTGTATTTTTGTCATAGCCAAGTTTACTGTCTGACCAGCTCTTCGTGCTAAGCTAAGCAAACAGACTGCTAGTGTTCATGTCATCTCATTCTGTAAGTGTGGTGCTACACAACTGTACCTGTCCTAAAACAATTATAATGGGTCCGTTGATGTTGGATCCAGAGCTGACGAATTTCCGACTCGAGGGTTTTCCATCTAACCAAAGTTGCATCAGTCCAGTTGTAGCGTCCCATGTGGAACAAATAGAGTGCCACGTGTTCAGTCTGTAATCCTGCCCAACAACGGAAGTCTGTTTGTCCCTGGCCCATAGATGAAACTCATCCGCTGCAGCCATCTTGAAAAACAGGAAGTCATTGGCAGCAGAGGGTGTCGCCAAAGAGAAGAGTGAGTGATCTCTTCTGAGATCTGTGAAGGACCTGTAGATGGTGCAAACACATCATCATGTGTTATAATGGTCATTTTGGATACAGGAGGTTTTTTATTTAATTCATTTTGATTATCCATCACTACCTGAGACAGGCGGTTACAGCCCCGAGATTTTGTCTTGATGTCGTCAGCCTCACATAATCTGTGTTGCTTTCTTGTGGGAAAGTGAACATTTTGTCTGTCAGATCTTTAAAAAATAAATAAATAAAAGAGAGAGAGAAAAAATAAATATTACGACTGAAAAGGGATAATTTGTGGACAATGTGTACTGTAGCAACAAGACTGGTTTAATAATTTTTGGTAAAGTAATTTCAGTAATTGCATCAACCTAATATTGTGCAGTTTTAGATTTCAAGATATTGAGTGTTGAAATACACAATTGCAGAAATGCAAAATGTAAAAAAAAAAAAACAACAGCAACAACAAAGAGGTAATTACCAACAATTTTGTGGTAGAGTTAATTCACTTCTTTAAAGCTGAACAAAAACATGAAAAAACAATAAACTGCCAAAACAACTTCATTTTGTCAGCGTAAAAACGTTTTTTTCACGATTATGGCAAAAAAAATGAAACTATTTGGAACAACAATTTATGTAATAAACTTACAGACGTGTGTTTTTGTTGTCAGTCATTAAGTGGCAATTAAAAATAAGTGTGATTGTAGAAGAAAAGCTGATTCTCAGTGGGATTTGTGGGTTGAACCTAGTTTCATTTGAAGTTCATAAAACTTGATGCAAAGTCTTGTTTTTTGTTTTTTTTTTGAGCACAAACGTTATTTTTTAGTGTATGCAGTGTGTTATATATAAAATAGGAGAAAAGAATTACCCAAAACAACAATAACCATTGTGGTAACAAACTTTTTTACCTTGAGGAGCGGCAGCACATGCTGTCACCATCGCCAGTAGAAGCAGCAGCTCCATCTAATAGAGCGACAAACACACACCACACAAAGCAACTACATCAGTGTTGGTGATCGGACAACAAATAAGTTCATTTAAGGCATTCTGCTTCCACACCGGTAGAGAAGGTGAAAGCTGTTTGGATGTACTACAGTCATTGTAACTTCCTCTACTCTGCAGTGTATAATATATAAATTCTTACCTTGAAAAGTGTGTCGGGGGTTTTTGTGTTGGAACAGTGGAGGCTTGTGAGTTTTATACTGCGGGGCTGGTCATATAAAAGGCTGGTCCTTATTGGCTCTGTGTGTCCTTCCTTTCCATGTATGTAAATTCCAGTAAAATGCTGCTGAACAATGTTTCCGGAATTCTCGCTCTGAACAGAAAGAGCGCAACCGTCGCTGGAAGTAGCGAGAACTCAACCGAGTCGTCTGTTAAAATTCCATAAATAATAAAGGAAAGAAATAAAAGCAGCAGATGAATTTCTTTGGTTATCTATTTTGCAAATATTTGAAAAACCCATGATCAACATCTACATCATTCTTCCACAGGTGTTCAGAACACTTGTAAAATAGACAGGGACTTCTACAACTGACACTGTGCAGACTGATTTATTGAGAAACCTGCAGGGCTGCGAGTAACCTGGTGCATCACCAGTACAAACTTTACAAGTCCTTTGGAGAGAATCAATGTCTTCTGATGAGAGTCATCCTTCCAAAAAGCTCCACACTTTTGGGGTTTCAGAAGCTGTTAGGTAAGGAAAGTTATGTACCTGTGAACATGTACCACAAACATCAGTCTTAGAGAGACCAGTAGCATTTCTGACTGAGAGACTGGCAGCATCTGTAAGGAAAGACTGACTTGGACAAACAAAAATCCATGTGAAAGCGGCTTGTAATCAAAGTAGTGGGTTGCTCCTGCTGTTGCCCCTTGGACTTGTTTACTTACCCTGAATGGCATATCTGTTGTTAAACATATGGTTGCAAATCGGTCAAGTTTCTGTCTTAAAAGGCATTTGGGATTCTATTTTTTTTTTGTAGTTTTAAAATTAAAAATGAATGGCAAACGTAACTGACAATTGACAAACTACTCAACAGTTCCTGTTAATGACTAAGAGCCTCCTCTACATCCAGAACCTTGCCATCCCTTGGGAGTTAGCTTTATGGCTACAGATGCCCAAGAAAGGAGACTCAGGAGATAGGATGGTGGCAGGCTGAAGGTCTAACCGACACAGGAGGTAAAACTACCTTGTTGTTAACAGACTGGAAGCTGATCCAACCCACTCTAAATGTCTGTGCAATGAGTTTAGAACTAGAAGGTCAGAAGTTGCCTAACTATGGAGCTGCCAGGGAATTCATAGGCTGGTGGTGGGTTGGCTGGGAATCTGGTATGGGGCAGTAACTTTAGCCAATCCTATCCGTGCATACTCTGAATAGAATCATGTGCAAGATCAAAGGTTGTTGTTGGCCTTTCCCAGCAGAGTATCATCAATCAAGGTTAACCTGAATGGTTCGCATTATTTACACTGTGGCACAGCTTTGTCCCAAACTAACAAGTTAATGCTCATAAAGATTCTCTTCATTTAAGTTATTATAAGTGTGAGGTTTCCTTTTCCCTTCCCAGACTCCAAACTGTGTCAGGAAGACAGGTTTTAGGCCAACTGTCTTTACTCTTGCCTGGTTTCTGTCCCATAGAAAAACGATCTGTTGGAAGTCAGATCCAAGTCGGCGGAGTGTGTAACTATTGTAGTAGAGATGTAGATTGATAATTTTCTCTGTGGAAAGTCAAGGAATCATGTCAGTGACCACAATCAGCTGCACACACAAACTACAACTGACAGTAAATGAAGAAGTGAATACAGGTTTCGAATGTAAGATTTTGGTCGAAATTTCATGTTCTCTGCTTCACATTTAAGCTACTTCATAGCCACTTCACTAACGATCAATAGTCCACATGAGAGTGATCAATGAAATGGTTTGCTCCTGCTTTTGCCCCTTGGACTTGTTTGCTTACCACGAATGACTCACTTGTTGCTGAACACATGACTGGTCAAACAGCTGTGTTCAAAAAGCATTTGGGATTCTAGTTTTTCTGTATTAAATTTATAAATGAATGCCAAACATAATTGACAATTGACAAACCACTTAAACATTTCCCGTTAATACAATGCTCATTTTTGTTTCATCCCAATAAATAAAAAACAAAAAGCAACACAGATGTGGTTTTGTTTAGGTCCGGCAAAGAATGACTTGCACAAGCAGCCCAAAGTCTATATAGAATGAGTGTGATCAGAGAAGAGTGATGAAACATGAAGAAACTTAAACCATGCAGAGGCGGGACTACTCAGTTTCAGTGTCTAAAATTAACAGGCCATGATCTGGTCAAAATATATCTACTATATAAATAAAGTAAAAGAGTAACTGAGCAATGGCTGGACAAGATGTTAATCCAACAACCGACGATTGCTGATATACAATTAAAAAGTTCTGGTGCACGTTCACGGAGTAATAATAATATTAATAACTTCTCCATGGACCTCAAACTGGAACAAAAAGAAAACAAGAGTTTATCTTTATGTTGGAGATCATCACTGGTGACATGAGGTGAGTCTGCAGCAACCTCAACAGAAGAAACAACAATTTTTAACAACTGAAACCTTTCCTCGAGGGCATTCTGGTGCATAAATGGTCAGAAATATAAATCTTAAATCTTGGCTTTAAACCTTGAAATCTATCCTAAAACACACTGGAAGCCACTTCTTGTTAACATAAATGTTATTACAACCACCAATGCAGGTGCAGTTTGTAAAACCCGACCAAGCACATCAGATGAGGGGCAACAGGTGCATTCTTCTTATTTCCTTCAACACTCATGTGGTTGTGCTCCGTGAACACATCCCCCAGGGACGAACTGTCAACACAGAGTGCTATTGAAACACCCTGAGGTTCAAGAGGAAATATTTGGCACAAATTACCTGAACTGGGGCACATGTGGGGGATTCCTTTGCGCTGTGCACAGCTGTGTCTGACCACGACAACACAATCATTGCTCCTTACCTGCTCTGCTCACCAGATTTGGCTTCTTTTGACTTCTTCCTCTGCCCCAAAATGAAATTCAAGCAAAGGTTTCACCATTTTGATTCAGTGCTCATGACAGATGGTGCTTGACATGTTTATGCAATGAAACTTCCAGGGAGCATTACAAATGTTGCAGGAGCACTGTGAGCAGTGTATCGCTGCACAGGGAGACTACTTTGAGAGGGACGGAGGCCAAAGTTACATCAGGCATAGTTTTTGATTTTCAAAGGTCAAGTTTCTGAACTTGGGCTGCAAGGTGGCTCGGTGGTTAGCACCATTGCCTCGCAGCAAGAAGATCACCGGTTCACATCCCGGTGAGGACACCCAGGATCTTTCTGTGTGGAGTTTGCATGTTCTCCCCGTGCAGCGTGGGTTCTCTCCGGGTTCTCC